ATTCTTTTTTTAATTTTTTCTTCTTTTTTCTCTTGGAATCAAGCTCATAGTCTTGTTTTTGTTTTGTTTTGTTTTCATTTTCTTTCCTTTTTTGGGGGGGACAGATCAAGCTTCTTTCTTCTTTTGTTTTTCCTTCTTTTTCCTTTTCTTTTTCCTCCTCTTCTTCTTCTTCTCCTTTCTTTTTCTTTGAAATCAGCCTTATAGTTTTTGGGTTCTCTGGTTTTTTTCTTCCCTTTGCTTTCCTCTTTTTTTGGGGGATCGGGGTTTGTTTTAGTGTTCCTTTTTTCCAGGCTTATTTTAACAGACAAATCAAAGCAAACCTAGTTAAATGTCCAAAACCCATTGCAAACAAGGCTGAGCTGTGCAGAGGACTGACCAGTGGAAAGAGCAACCAAAACACATTTTGGCAGAGAAACAGTGTACGTAGCAGAATGCACACAGCATACACCATAAACACTTCCTGAAGTGCCAGGCCCTGTACAGTGGATGGTTCCTTTTTCATATAGCCTAGCTCTCAGGTGCAGAAAACATTACAAGCTTTCAAAACACACACAACAAAAACCCTAGAAACCTAGCCAAAATGACAAAGTGAAGGAATTCTCCCCCAAATGAAAGGTAAAGAAGAAATCACATCCAGGGTGTGGATGCCCAAATCCACAACACAGATATAAGGAATTTATCTGAACAAGAATTTAGAACAGTCATAAGACTACTAGCTGGGCTTAAAGAAATGTAGAAGACACCAGAGAAACCCTTGCTGGAGTGATCAAAGGCCTAAACTAGTCACACTGAAATAAATAATGCTATAACTGAGATGCAAAACCGACTGGATACAGTCACAATGAGGACTGAAGAAGCAGAGAAGAAAACAGGTAATACTGAAGATAAAATTGTGGAAAATAATCAAGCGGAAAAGAAGTTGGAAAAGAAATTATTAGATCATGAAGGGAGACTTAGAAAACATAGTGATTCCATAAAATGAAACAGTATCCATATCATAGGAGGCCCAGAAGAGGAAGAGCAGGAAAAAGGAGCAGAAAGTTTATTTAAAAAATTATATTTGATAACTTCCTTAATCTGGGGAAGGAAACAGGAATTCAAGTCAAAGAGGCATAGAGAACTCCTCTCAAAATCAACAAAAACAAGTCAACACCATAACATATCATAGTGAAACTTGCAAAATACAAAGATAAAGAGAGAATTTGGAAAGCAGTTAGCGACTAAAGATACTTAACCTAAAAGGGTAGACACATAAGGTTAGCAGCATACCTGTCTACTGAAACTTGGCAGGCCAGAAGGGAATGGCAAGAAATATTCAATGTGCTGGCTGGAGAAAGTATGCAGCCAAGAATTCTTATCCAGCAAGACTGTCATTCAGAATAGAAGGAGAGATAAAGAGTTTCCCAGACAAAAACTAAAGGAATTTATGACCACTAAACCAGCCCTGAAAGAAATTTTAAGGGGACTCTCTGAGTACAGGAAAAAAAAAAAAGAAGACCAAAGCAGCAAAGACTACAAAGAACCAGAGAACATCACCAGAAATACCAACTCTAAAGGTGACACAATGGGACTAAATTCATGTCTTTCAATAATCACTCTGAATTAAAAATGACTAAATGCTTCAATCAAAAGAAATAGGGTATCAGAATGGATAATAAAAAACAAAACCCACCTATATGTGACTCATTTTAGCCCTAAAGACAACTACAGATTGAAAGTAAGGGGATGGAAAACCATCTATCATGCTAATGAACATCGAAAGAAAGCTGGAGAACCCATACTTATACCAGACAAACTAGATTTTAAAACAAAGACTGTAACAAGAATGTCATTATATCATAATTAAGGGGTCTATCCATTAAGAAAAGCTAACAATTATAAATATTTATACCCTTAACTTGATAACACACAAACATATAAATCAATTACTCACAAATGTAAAGAAACTCATTGATAATATTACTATAAAGCTAGGGGACTTTAATACCACACTTACAGTAATAAACAGATCATATAAGCAGAAAACCAATAAGGAAACAATGGCTTTGAATGACACACTGGACCAGATGGACTTAACAGGTATATTCAGAACATTTCACCCTAAAGCAGCAGAATTCACATTTTCCCTAAGTGCACATGGAATATTCTCCAAAACAGATCACATACTGGGTGACAAATCAGCCCTCGACAGGTACAAAGCATCAAGATCATAGCATGCATATTTTCAGATCACAATGATATGAAATTTGAAATCAACCACAAGAAAAAAATTGGAAAGTCCTCCAATACATGGAGGTTAAAGAACATCTTAGTAAAGAATGAATGGGTTAACCAGGAAATTAAAGAAAATTTTTTTTAAAAATACATGAATGCCAATGAAAATGAAAACACGATGGTCAAACCCTTTGGGATGCAGCAAAGGCAGTCTTAACAGGAAAGTACATTGCTATTCAGGGCTACCTCAAGGAGCAATAAAGCTCCCAAATGCACAACCTAACATCACACCTAAAGGAGCTAGAAAAGATGCAACAAATAAAGCCTAAACTCTGCATAAGAGGGGAAATAATAAAAATTAAACCAGAAATAAACAATATAGAAAGAAAAAAATAGAATAGATAATGAAATTAAATGCTAGTTCTTTGAAAGAATAAATAAAATTGATAACGCCTCTAGCCAGACTTATCAAAAAGAAACAAGAGAGGACCCAAATAGATGAAATCACAAATTAAAGAGGAGAGATCACAACCAGCACTGCAGAAATACAATTATACGAGAATATTATGAAAACTTACATGCTGACAAACTGGCAAATCTGGGAGAAATGCATAAATTCCTAAAAACTCACACACTACCAAAAATGAAACAGGAAGAAATAAAAAATTTGAACAGACCCATAACAAGCAAAGCAATTGAATCAGTTATCAAAAATCTCCTGGGCCAAATGGCTTCCCACGGAAAATTCTACCAGACATTTAAAGAAGAGTTAATACCTATTCTTTGTTAACCGATCCAAAAAATAAAAATGGCAGGAAAGCTTCCAAACTCATTCTATGAAGCCAGCATTACCTTGATTCCAAAACTAGACAAACACCCCACTAAAAAGGAGAATTATGGGCCAATATCTCTGATGAAACTGGATGCAAAAATTCTCAGCAAGAGACTAGAAAATCGAATTCAAGAGTACATTAAAAGAATTATTCACCCTGATCAAGTGGGATTCATTCCTGGGTTTAAGGACTGGTTCAGGATTTGCAAATCAATCAACATGATACACCACATTAATAAAGGAAATGACAGGAACCATAGAACCCTCTTAATAGATACAGAAAAAGCATTTGACAAAATACAGCATCCTTTCTTGATAAAATCCCTCAAGGAAGTAGGGATAGAAGGAACATACCTCAACATCAAAACGCCATACACAAAAGACGCAAGGCTAACATCATCTTCAATGGGGAAAAACTGAGAGCTTTCCCACTAAGGTCAGGAACACAATAGGGATGTCCACTCTCACCATTGCTATTCAACACAGTACTGGAAGTCCTATCCTCAGCTATCAGACAACAAAGAAAAAAGAAAAGGCATCCAAATAGGTAAGGAAGAAGTCAAACTTTCACTCTTCACAGATGACATAATACTCTACATGGAAACCCCGAACAACTCTACCAAAAAACAGCTAGAATGGATACATGAATTCAGCAAAGTCACAGGATATAAAATCAATGTACAGAAATCGGTTGCATTTCTGAAGCAGTAGAAAGAGAAATCAAGTAATCAATTCCATTTACAGTTTCTTCAAAATCCAGATACCTAGGAATAAACCTAACCAAAGAGGTAAAGGAGCTATAGCCTGAAAATAATAGAAAGCTTATGATAGAAACTGAAGATGACACAAAGAAATGGAAAAACATTCCATGCTTATGGATTGGAAGAACAAATATTGTTAAAATGTCTATACTACCCAAAGAAATCAACACACTCAATGCAATCCCTATCAAAATAACAGTAGTATTCTTCACAGAGGTAGAAAAACAATTTTAAAATTTGTATGGAACCAAAAAAGACCCCGAATAGCCAATGTTGAAAAAGGAAATCACAGCTGGAGGCATCATAATTCCAGACTTCAAGCCTTATTAAAGCTGTAATCATCAAGACAGTACAGTGTTGGCACAAAAATAGACACTCAGATCAATGGAACAGAATAGAAAATCCAGAAATGGACCCACAAAGATGGCCAACTAATCTTCAACAAAGCAGGAAAGAATATCCAATGGAAAAACACAGTCTGTTCAACAAATGGTGTTGGGATTACTGGACAGAAACATGCAGAAGAATGAAACTGGACCACTTTCTTACACCATACGCAAATATAAATTCAAAATGAATGAAAGACCTAAATGTAAAATAAGAAATCATCAAAATCCTACAGGACAAATTAGGCAGCAAACTCTTTGACCTTGGCTAAATCAACTTCTCATGAGACATATCTCCATAGGCAAGGGAAACAAAATAAAAAATGAACTATTGGGACCTCATCAAGATAAAAACCTGCACAACAAAGGAAACAATCAAGAAAACTAAAAGGCAGGCAACAGAATTGGAGAAGATATTTGCAAATGACATATCCAATAAAGTGTGAGCATCCAAAATCTATAAAGAACTTGTCAAACTCAACACCCTAAAAACCAAATAATCCAGTGAAGAAATGGGCAGAAGACATGAACAGACACTTTTTGAAGACATCCAGATGGCTAACAGACACATGAAAAGATGTTCAACATCACTCATCATCAGGAAAATACAATCAAAACCACAATGAGATACCACCTCACACCTGTCAGAATGGCTAAAATTAAGAACTCAGGAAACAACAGTGTTGGTGAAGATGCTGAGGAAGGGGAACTCTTTTGCACTGTTGGTGGGAATGCAAACTGGTCAACCATTCTGAAGAACAGTATGGAGATTTCTCAAAAATTTTAAAATAGAACTACCCTACAACCCAGAAATTGCATTACTAGTTATTTATCCAAAAGATGCAAAAAGACTGATTCAAAGGGACATGTGTACCCTGGTGTTTATAGCAGCATTATCAATAATTGCCAAATTGTGGAAAGTGCCCAAATCTCCAACAACTGATGAGTGGATAAAGAAGATGTGGTATATATATATACACACACACAGTGGAATATTACTTAATGATCAAAAAGAATGAAATCTTGCCATTTGCAACAATGGATGGAACTAGAGTATATCATGCTAAATGAAAAAAGTCTGTTAGAGAAAGACAAATATATGATTTCAGTCATATGAGGAATTAAAAAACAAAACAGATGAACATAGGGGAAGGGAAGGAAAAAAAGAGACAAAAACAGAGAGGGTGGTAAACCATAAGAGACTCTTAAATACAGAGTACAAACTGAGGGTTTCTGGAGGAGAGGTCGGTGGGGAAAGGGCTAAATGGGTGATAGGCATTTAGGAGGGCTCTTGAGATGAGCATGGGGTGTTATGTATAAGTAATGAATCACTGGGTTATACTCCTGAAACCAATACTACATGATATGTTAATTAACTTGAATTTAAATAAATATTTTTTTAAAACATTGCATTTTAAAAAAAAGAAGAGGGGACTCCTGTGTGGTTCTGTTGGTTAAGTGTCCACCTCTGAATTTTCATTCATCATGATCTCATGGTTCGTGAGATCAAGCCCCATGTCAGGCTCTGTTCTGACAGCACAGAGCTTCCTTGAGAGTCTCTCTTCCTCTCCCTCTCTCTTTCTCTGCCCCTCCCCCAATTGCACTCTCTCACAAAATAAATAATAAACACTTTTAAAAAATAAAAAATAAAAATAAAAAAGAAGAGGATAAAAACCATACAATCATTTCAATAGATGCAGAAAGGTATTTGACAAAATACAACATCCATTCATGATAAAAACCCTTAATGGAGTAGATTTAGAGGGAACATAGCTCAACATAATAAAGGCCATGTACGAAAAACCCACAGCTAATATCATCTTCATTGGGAAAAAACAAATAGCTTTTCCCCTAAGGTTAGGAACAAGACAAGGATATCAACTCTCACCACTTTAATTCAACATTGTACTGAAAGTGCTGAGACACAACAGTCAGACATGAAAAATAAATAAAAGACATCCAAACTGGTGATGAGGAAGTAAAACTTTCACTATTTGCAGATGACATGATACTGTATATAGAAAGCCTTAAGGACTTCACAAAACAAAAACAAAAACAAAAACAAAAACAAAAAATGACTAAAACTGATAAATGAATTCAGTAAGGTTGCAGGACACAAAATCAATGTACAGAAATCTGTTTAATTTCTATACATTAATAACAAAGTAGCAGAAAGTGAAATTAAGAAAATATTTCCCATTTACAATTGCACCAAAAAGAATACTTGGGAATAAACTTAAACAAGAAGTTGAAAGACCTATTGGATTCAATTTGCTGTTTTATTGAGAGTTTTTGCATCATGTTCATCAGGGATATTGGCCTGTAATTCTCTTTTTTATTGGGGTCTTTGGTTTTGGAATCAAGATAATGCTGGCTTTCTGGAATGAGTTTGGAAGTTTTCCTTCCATTTATATTTTGGAACAATTTGAGAAGTAGAGGTATTAATTCTTCTTAAAATGTTTGGTAGAAGTCTTGTGGGAAGCCATCTGGACCTGGACTTTCGTTTGTTGGCAGATTTTTGATTACTGATTAAATTTTACTGGTTATGGATCTGTTGAAATTTTCTATTCCATCCTGTTTCAGTTTTGGTAGGAATGTTTCTAGGAATTTATGTTTCTATGTTTCTAGGAATTTATCCATTTCTTCCAGATTGCCCAATTTATTGGCATATAATTTTTCTAGTGTTCTCTTATAATTGTTTGTATTTCTGTGGTGTTTGTTGTGATCTCTCCTCTTTCATTCATGATTTTATCTATTGGGTCCTTTCTTTTTTCTTTTTGATAAATCTGGCTAGGGGTTTACCTATTTTATTAATTCTTTCAAAGAACTAGCTCTTAGTTTCATTGCTGTGTTCTAATGTTTTTGTTCTTGTTGTTTCTATATCACTTATTTCTGCTCTATCTTTATTATTTCCCTTCTTCTGCTGGCTTTAGGCTTAACTTGTTCTTTTTCCAGCTCCTTTAAGTGTAAGGTTAGATTTTGTATTTGAGATTTTTGTTGCTTTTGATGTAAGCCTGTATTGCTATAAACTTCTCTCTTATGACTACTTTTGCTGCATGGCACAGATTTCGGACCATTGTGTTTTGACTTTCATTTCACCTGTCAGAATGGCTAAAATTAACAATAAAAGAAACAACAGATGTTGGTGACGATGCAAAGAAAGGGGAACCCTCTTATACTGTTGGTAGGAATGCAAACTGGTCAACCACTGTGGAAAACAATATGGAGATTCCTTAAAAAGTTAAAAATAGAGCTACCCTATGATCCAGAAATTGCACTACTAGGTATTTATCAAAAACATACAAAAATACTGATTCATAAGGACAGGTGTACCCTGATGTTTATAGCAGCATTATCAACAATAGCCAAATTATGGAAAGAGCCCAAATGTCCATCAACTGATGAGTGGATAAAGATGTGGTATATATACACAATGGAATTACTCACCCATAAAAACAAGTGAAATCTTGACATTTGTAACAATGTGGATGGAGATAGTGTGTATTATGCTAAGTGAAAAAAGTCAGAGAAAGACAAATACCACATGATTTCACTCATATGTGGAATTTAAGAAATAAATGAGCAAAAGGGGAAAAAAAGAGAGAGGCAAACAATAAAACAGACTGAACTATACAGAAGAAACTGATGGTTACCAGAGAGGAGGTTGAGGGGATGGGTTAAATAGGTGATGAGAATTAAGGAGTGCACTTGTTGTGAGCACCGTGTATTGTATAGAAGTGTTGAATCACTATATTACACACCTGAGACTAATATTACACTGTATATTAACTAATTGGAATTTATATAAAAATTTTTTAAACCCTACATTGTCCAGTATTAGTAAAACCCCTCCATCTGTCTGTTGGTGTTTATTTGCATGGTATATCTTCCATTTTTTTGCTTTCAACCTGTGTGTCTTTGAATCTAATGTGTGTCTTTTGTAAATTGTTATAGTTGGATCTTACATTATTACCTATTTTGCCAATCTCTGCTTTTTAGTTGGGTTGTTTGGACAATTCATATTTAGTGCAGTTGTTAATAGGGTCAGAGTTACAGTTGCCATTTTGTTATGTCTTTAACTGTCTTGTTCCTATTTTCCTCCCTTAATAACTTCTTTTGTATTAAATAAATCTTTTAGTATATCATCTTAATTCCTCTAATAATTTTTTTTACTATATTTTTAACCATTTCCTTAGTGTGTGCTCTAGAAATTCCAATATGCATCTTAACTCATTACAGTTTATTTCAAATTGATGTTAACTTGATTCCCATGAAATATAAAATATTTTCTCCAACATAACTCTATTCTTTTCCCCTCTTGTGCTATTATTTTCATATATATTACATCTGTATATTTTACAAAACCAACATTACAATGTTATAATTATTTATTTACACAAAGTTATATATTTTAAAGAATTTAACAGAAGAAATGTGAAAATATATTTAGATTATTTTATTTTTAACATGGATATTGATTTCTTCTACACTTTTCATTTCTTCCAGTCAATTTGAGCTACCATCTGGTGTCATTCTCTTCTACATTCCAAAGAATTTTCTTTAGTATTTTTCATAAATCAGTTCTGATATCAAGGAGTTCTCTCAATCGTTTTAAATTTTGGAATGTCCTTATTTTACCTTTATAACTGGTAGATAGTTTCACTGGATAAAAAATTCCTTATTAGCAGTTTTTTCTTTCAGTATTTTGAATATATCATTTCACTGCCTTCTAGGGTCATTTTTCTCTGATGGGAACTTAGACATTTTCTATATTGATGCACCCTTGCACATATTAAGTTGTTTTTCTCTTGCTTCTTTCAAGATTCTTTTCTTTGTGTGTGTGGCTTTCAACACTTTGGCTATGATGTGTCTAGGTATAAATCTCTTTGAATTTGTCCTAATTATGGTTCATTAAACTTCTTGGATGTGTAAGTTAATATTTTTTTAAACAAATTTAGGTAGTTTGAGGCCACTATTTCTTCAAAGAATCACAGTTACTATTGTATCCACACCTTGAGGAAGTATATTAGATGAAATTTTAGACATTTATTGGGAAAGTCTAAGAACTAGGAAATTGGAATGAGTACATGTCTTTGAATTCAAACCATTTAGCACAATGAGTACGTCTTGATCCCATAAGCAGTTTTTTTTTCCCTGTGTGAGTCTGTTTCTGCATTGCTGGAATTCAACTATAAGATGAATTTCTAAATTATTACCCTGAACTTTTAAAAAGCCACCACAAGGGAGCGCATGGGTGGCTCAGTCTGTTAAGCGCCCAACTTTGCTAAGGTCATGATTTCACAAGGTTCTTGGGTTGGAGCCCCACATCCGGCTCTGTGCTGTCAGCTCAAAGACTGGAGCCTGCTTCAGATTCTGTGTCTCCCTCTCTCTGCCCCCCACCCGTTCACATTCTGTCTGTCTGTCTCTCTCTCTCAAAAATAAATAAACATTTTAAAAAAATGTTTTTTAAAATTACCACAAAATAGTATACACTATGTGATTCCTTTTGCATGAAACTCTAGAGAAGACAAAACAAATCTATAGTGACAGAAATCCAGAAAGAGATTTCCAAGATGGAGTTGACTCAACAGTTTAAAAAGTGATCCAATATATTTGGGCTCTCAATAGATGGAATTTATGTCATGTATTCATTCAGATAAGGTTTGAATACAAGAATATCTCCAAGAGAGACATTACAGTTCTGTAATGTCATTTATAAAATTATCACTACCCATATGGGGATGGATGTCAGGTAATTACACCTTCTCCCCCAATCCCTGGTAGAGTGGACTTAGAGTAAGGTCAAGATCAAGGTGACGATCTTTGACAAAGCAGGAAAGAATATCCAATGGAATAAAGACAGTCTCTTCAGCAAGTGGTGCTGGGAAAACAGGACAGCGACATGCAGAAGAATGAACCTGGACCTCTTTCTTACATCATACACAAAAATAAACTCAAAACAGATGAAAGACCTAAATGTGACAGGAAACCATTAAAATCCTCAAGGAGAAAGCAGGCAAAAACCTCTTTGATCATGGCCACAGAAACTTCTTCTCCAGAGGCAAGGGAAACAAAAGCAAAAGTGAACTATTGGGACCTCATCAAAATAAAAAGCTTCTGCACAGTGAAGGAAACAATCAGCAAAACTAAAAGGCAACTGAAGGAATGGGAGAAGATATTTGCAAATGACTATCAGACAAAGGGTTAGTATCCAAAATCTATAAAGAACTTAGCAAACTCAACACCCAAAAAACAAATAATTCAGTGAAGAAACGGGCAAAAAACATGAATAGACACTCCTCCAAGGAAGACATCCAGATGGCCAACTGATACATGAAAAAATGCTCAACATCACTCATCATCAGGGAAATAGAAATCAAAACCACAATGAGATACCACCTCACACCTGTCAGAATGGCTAACATTAACAACTCAGGCAACATCAGATGTTGGCGAGGATGAAGAGAAAGAGGATCTCTTTTGCACTGCTGGTGGGAATGCAAACTGGTGCAGCCCCCCTGGGGAACAGTATGGAGGTTCCTCAAAAAATTAAAAATAGAACTACCCTGTGACCCAGCAATTGTACTTCTAGGTATTTATCCAAGGGATACAGGGATGCTGTTTCAAAGGGGCACATGCACCCCCATGTTTATAGCAGCACTGTCAACAGTAGCCAAAGAATGGAAAGAGCCCAAATGTCCATCCATGGATGAATGGATAAAGAAGAGGTGGTATATATATACAATGGAGTATTACTCGGCAATCAAAAAGAATGAAATGTTGCCATTTGCAACTACATGGATAGAACTATTATGCTAAGCATAATTAGTCAGTTAGAGAAAGACAACTATCATATGACTTCACTCATATGAGGACTTTAAGACACAGAGCAGATGAACACAAGGGAAGGGAAGCAAAGATAATATAAAAACAGGGAGGGAAACAAAACATAAGAGACTCTTAAATATGGAGAACAAACAGAGGGTTACTGGAGGGGTGGTGGGAGGTGCTAAATGGATAAATGAGTAAGGGGCATTAAGGAAATTACTCTTGAAATCATTGTTGCACTATATGCTAACTAACTTGGATGTAAATTTAAAAAATAAAATAAAATAAAAAATTTAAGAAAACATTTAAATCAGTAAAAAAAAAAAAAGATCAAGGTAAGGAAATTATATTACTTCACTTAGGTGGATTATCTGGTATCCAGGAAGCCCAAAGTTATTATCAGAAAAGAAGGATATGGTCAAACGTCTATTAGTAGTTGGTCGAAATAGCTATTCTCTGCTCTGTACACTTTGCCTTTGGTGTACAACTAGGATCAAAAGCAAGTTAGGGGCACCTGGGGGGCTCATTCAGTTGTGCATCCGACTTCGGCTCAGATCATGATCTCACGGTCTGTGGGTTCGAGCCCCACATCTGGCTCTGTGCTGACAGCTCAGAGCCTGGGTCTTGCTTCAGATTCTGGATTCTATGTCTCCCTCCCTCTCTCTCTCTCTCTGTCCCCCCCTTGCTTCTGCGCTCTCTCTCTCTCTTTGTCTCTCTCTCTCTCCCTGTCTCTCTCTCTCTCCCTGTCTCTCTCTCTCTCTCTCTCTCTCAAAAAAAAAAAAAAAAAAAAAAAGCAAATTAGGCCTTTGAGGCTTACAGGGTAGTTCAGGTTTCATTGTACTTGGCACACTCTGCAATTTTAAGGCTTTTAAGATTTACTAAAAATCGCTGTTTGTGAGGAGCTGAGAAAAAAAAGGAAGGTTAACTGACTTCTGACAGTGGCTCTCTTTCTCTCTAAATCCTAAGGGGTGGCCCTAATACAACTTACCCCTAAAAAGGAATGCACGCTGTCCTCAGTCTTTGCCTGTACAACCTCCCTTGCTGGCTCCAGGCCTATAGTGAGAATAAAAACCCAGCTATGCTCAGAAGGAAAATTGCAAGGGCTAATCCAGAAATTAAAACACACACACACACACACACACACACACACACACACACACACGAACTCAAGATCTTGCTCAATAGTGTAAGCAGAAACTAGGTAGCATATATGAAGGTGGATCCTTAGGGTATTAGGCCAAGAAGGATGAATTGTTTTTGGACAAGGCCAAATTTATCAATAGATGTATATTCACTGTGGATTCAGGAGCAACCCATGGTGCATTTCATACCAAAGAAATATATACAGACATAACTCATTTTATTGCACTTTATTGCACTTTGCAGATATTGTGTTTTTTACAAATTGAAGGTTTGTGTCAATCCTGCATTGAGCAAGTCTATTAGCACCATTTTCCAACATCATTTGCTTACTTCATGCTTCTGTGTCACACTTTGGTAATTCTCACAATATTTCAAACTTTATTATTCTATTTGTTATGGTGATCTGTGATCAATGATTATGTGTTGCTGAAAGTTCAGATGATAGTTAGCATTTTATAGCTATAAAATATTTTTAATTAAGATATGTACATTGTTTTTTTAAGACATAATGCTATTGCTCATTTATCAAACAATATAGTATAAATATAACATAAGTGTTATACATTGGGAAACAAAAAAAATTCATTTGACTCACTTTATTGCAATATTCACTTTATTGTGGTAGCCTGGAACCAAACCTACTATATCTTTGAGATATGCCTGTGTTTCTCTAATGGGATCCTGACAAATATTTTTTAAAAGCCCTCTGAGTAGTTCTCATGTGAATTCATCTTTTTTTGGTGACCTGAAGGGATCTGCAGTGGTGGCTCTTTGATCCATTGAAATTAAGTAGGTGGCTACCTTATTAAGATATTTCTTAAGATATATATCTATATATGAAATTCTGGGTCTTGGGGCAGGGAGCTGGGTGGCGAAGTTGGTTAAGCATCCAACTCTTGATTTGGGCTCAGGTTTTGATCTCACAGTTCATGAGATCAGGCCCTGTGTCAGCCTCTGCTATACTGAGAGTGCAGAGCCTGCTTGGGATTCTCTCTCTCCCTCTCTCTGCCTCTTTCTCTCTCTAAATAAATAAATAAATAAATAAATAAATAAATAAATAAATAAACTTAAAGAAAAAAAAGAAATTCTGGGTCTCATGGGAAGAAAACTAACACAAGTGATTATAACAGGGATTCAGATACTCTTTCCCAGTCCTTGGTATCTCCTACTTTACAGACAGGAAGCTTTGACTGAAGGGCAGACTGGGTTCCTTTGACAAAATTCCTCATAACTTAGTCATAAGTACATACAATTAATCATTCCCCAAGAGTCCCCTAGGGAGACCTGTGACTATATACCAGTCAAATTTACTTCAAATTGAGTCTACAATGTAGAGTGTCATCATTGGAAGTATGGCTTCTGCAATTACAGTCTCACTTAGCAGTGGCTCTGAAATGTGTGTTGAAATCTTCCCAGTGGGCAGAGTTTAAGTAGGTATATTTAGTTACTCACTTTGTGAAGAAGAGATATGTCTTAAGTTTATATTTATATGAATTCATGTCCAATATTTCAATTAGTTGTTCAGTGGTAGGGTGCTAGACAAGACTTGAAATTTGGTGACAAAAAGGTCTGGAGAAGATATGTGTGGATGGAATTCTAGAACAGGTATTGAATGAGGTTTATAAATACTTAACTGAGGATAGGGCATTAGAGGGAAGAGTACAGTGAGGTTTGGATATTTATTCCTTTGGCTCTCTGTGCTGAGCCATGTAACAGCCATTATGATGTTTCTCTTCCTAAGGCCACAGCTCTCATAAGAGTGGCCTTTTCTGCCAGATTCTGGTAATTACCTATCATCACTATGGGCCTGGTGGTGATAATGCCTCCATATCATTACTAGTTACAAGACACTTTCCCAACCCTACCCATGTTTTTCAAGGCCTGTTTATTAGACTCTCCTCAAGGTCCTATTGTTTCTTGACAACTGACACCTCTTTCTTGAGGAGACCTATTAGTCTCCTCATGTTCAAAACAATTCTGATCACAAAGTCCATGGGGATAGGGAATTTAATCTCTTTTATTTGATGTTGTTATCCCAGCATCTAGAATGATGTCTCTCGCACAGCAGGTTATCAATAAATGTTTCTTACATGAACATATGTAGTGACCACTTTCTCTCCATTAGCGATCTTTATGTTAAAGTCAATTATGACTGATTGATTTAATATAGTTTGACCAGCATTTTTGTGCTTCTATTTGTAATTCCTTACAGAATGACAAAGAATTATAAACGTCGACAAGAACAAGCAAACTGGTCTATGCACATGGAAATTGAAGGTAACATAAAAATTTGCTGAAATAAGAGAATTCACCAACAATGTTAGTGTATTAAACCAACAGCTTTAACTTTAACTTTGGTTAAGTTAAACCAACTTAAACATATACATTTACAACTGCAGCACCCGTCTTGACCCCCAGCAGAACCTCTAAATTGAGCTCCAAGGGCAGCAGGACCTGTGGCGATAAAGAGACAGGATGGAAGTCCCAGGTTGAAAAATTATAAAATTATAATTTTACAGCTATATCATTTCAATCCTAAATCAGTTGTCACGCCAATTTTTTTTACACAGTCAATTACATAACTTCAATTTTTTTTCACACTTCACCTAAGTAACCATCATTTTAGTATTTTCAATATTCAATCCATATTCACATTTCCCCCTTGTCTCCAAATATCCTGAGGGAGGAAATTACATCAGTCGATAGCCAATAGAGGAGCACCCTCTATTCAAGTTTCACCCTTAACCTATTTGGGCCCAGAGAAAACCTGGGCAGGAGACTATTAAGAACACCAGCCTCTAGCTTTCTAAAATGCGGAAATGCCAAAAGAGAGACTTCAAAAGTGGCCGTGGAGATCTATGGGAAACGTAGTCTTGAATCCTTAGGCTTCTCCGCGTGGCACTCTGGGAAGAGAATTCGGGCCTCCTTCTGCGCTAGCGTAGTCGTAGCCCCGCCTCCTCATTCGTCTCGGATCTGCTGGCCAGCCGTTTGGGAGCCCACAGGTTTGCTCCGAAAGTAAAGGATGCGCACCTGGGGTGAGAGTCCAGGGGAGGTCTCTATGGGAGAGATGCGCTTGCGTCTGGGGATGGAAGCGGGAAATCTTTGGGACATCCCTGGTAGGCGCCCCGGCCAGCCCTCGGCCGCCGGAAGGCCGGTGGGGGCGTAGACTGAAGAACCCCGGCCCTCGGACTTGGGGCGCGCCGATGGGGCTGAGCCCGGTTCTGAGCAGGTGCTCGGTGAGAGCCTAGGTGTGCCGGGACCGTGTGGTCGGGCCGGCCTACTGCCCGACTTAGTGTTGGCGGGAGGGAAAGTGCATTTATAAAGCTGTTGGTGACCGTGAGTCTGCGGTGACAGCCTGAGCTTCGGAGCCAGAAAAGGCCCGGGTACATTTCAGCAGAGACGATGGAAGGAATCTGGCAGAGAGTCAGGTTTCTCATCTCAAAATGATATTATTAATATGACTGTTCCATGGGGTTGATTTGAAACTTAGATAGAAGTCATAACTTAGACAAGTGCCAAGCCCTACTCACTGAGTAAATAACAACTGCTCTTATAGTTAGAAGACACTGTGTTCTTTTCATTTCATTTCAACCGCTTAAAACAAAACAAAACAAAACAAAACAAAACAAAACCTAGGCTCAGCTTGGTTGAACGATGTGGTCAAGTTTGTCAGGTCACAAACTAGCTGTGAGGAAGTTTGGATTCAGGGGCAGGTGTGCTTTACTTCCAACCTCAGGCATTGTCTAAATATCACATCTGCCTAAAACCAGCATTGCAACACAGCACAACACAA